ATTGGGAAGGTTGAGAACCACTGCTCTAGAACCAGGCAGTTTACAAACAAACAAACAAACAAACAAACAAATAAATAAAAAGACTCCTCGGAGACAGCCGGATCCTTTGCCAACAGATCAGAAGCAAGCCCTTCCCACGTTGAATGCTTCTGCCGCTCACCCTTCCTTTTATGCCCGCTCCTTTAGGTCCCCAACTGTTTGCAGCCACCACGTAGTCGTCCTGTTTTTTTGGGGGGGGGAGCAACCCCCCCCCCTGCGTCTATTGAAACCTCAAAGCGAACGCGCGTGGGTGGGTGTTTGTGTATGTAAGGGGTGGGAATCGTGGGGGAATTGTTTCGATTCCTTTCTTCCTTCCTTTTACTGTTTAAAAGCTTTGCTATATTAACCCGTCCCTTCCCCCCCCGCCCCGGAACCTCTGCTGCTGCTGCTCAGTTTCTAGTCGGAACGAAAGGCTACCGGCCCCTAACATGGCAGCGCCCTTGAGCGCGCGCTGCAAGGTTCTTGCAGACGCCGAGCCCCCGGTTCTGCCCGGTGGGGCGGCGCCGTACGGAAATTTCCCCAACTATTCCTGCTTCCATCCGCCCGAAGGACGCGTCTGCCTCTTACCCGCGAGTCTTTTGGGCGAGTTGTTCCCAAACCCGCGTGCGGGTCCCCTTTTGGGGCTGGATGTTGGATGCAATTCGGGGGTAAGAAAGAAAAAGGAGCGGGAAGTGAGGTTTCATCATTTCATCACCTTTGTATACACTGCAGTTGCTTCCCTGTTGGTTTCTTCTCGCTTGCAAACGGGTATTCAGCTCTTGCTTACACAATCATTTATTTTCATATTACTCCGTTCATTATTAATCTCGGCATCAATCTCTCGGAGTCCAGCGAACCCAACTGCAAAGCGTATCTGGCAAATCCGGGCTATCTATATTGGAAGAAATTGCAAAGCGGTTTTTGTAGGTCAGGCTTTCTCATCCTGGTATGTTCCAAAAGTGTTGGATCAGCTCATCAATTCCCCAGCAATAATTGACAAAAGACAGAGATGATTTGATATAGTTCAATTATACTTCATTTATAATCCCATAGGTGGCTCACTTCAAGAAACCTCTAAGAAATAGGATGCTTATATAGACAGTCTGGTTTAGACTTATATAGGCAGATGCTTATATAGACAATCGGATTTCCTTTATTAGGTTAGCCAGTTGGCCACGATGGACTCAGCCAGTGTCCTATTGAATCTGAGTTGCTGGAGTCATGAACTATTCTTTTGCTGGACTTTGTTTAGTATCATAGAGGGGCAATTACAGTTAGTCTAGGGGTGGGTAACTAAGAAAATGTTAGAGCAAAAGTTGAGATATTTCTCTTTTCCTCTCTTCAGGAACTCAGTGTTGGCCTCTATAAGCACCTCCTTGGCTTTAACCATAGCAATCCTGAACATTCTGTGGATGGAACGGACCTCCGCCTCCTCTGCTGTGACATTGATGCAGACCTAATTGAGAGAGCCAAACAACGCAGCCCTTTCCCTGGTTCTATTTCCTACATCACTCTCGATTTTATGGACGCCAGTGCAAGAGAGACTCTGCTGACCTCCTACTTGAACAACTTTGGTCGTTGTTGGTTTGACATTTGCTTCTGCATGTCTGTAACTATGTGGATCCATCTGAATCATGGGGATAGTGGTCTGGTGAAATTCTTATCTTGCCTTGCAACTAAATGTACGTATTTACTTCTTGAACCTCAGCCATGGAAATGCTACCGCGCAGCTGCTCGGCGCCTGAGGAAGTTGGGCCGGAATGACTTTGACCATTTCCATTCGCTCACCATCAAAGGGAACATGGCTGAGAAGATAACTCAGATCCTGACGAGAGACTGTGCCATGGAGTTTGTGTGTTGCTTTGGAAGCACTAGCTGGGACAGGAGCCTCTTGCTGTTTAAATCAAAAGAGAAAAAACATTTGGGGTAATTTAGGATTTGTATTTTCTTTTTGAAGGGGCGTGTTGGCTCGATGATGATGATGACATTGATGGTGTGATGGCTTGTTGAGATGGTGCGATGGTAACAGTGTTCTGTGTACCTTTGGCAGTATGGCCATTCTGGCCGTATGACCACTGAAAATGTCTTTGGACGATGCTGGCTCCCTCAGCCAAGAAACGGAGATGAGCACTGCCCCCTAGATTTGAACACAACGGGACAGGAAGACTTTTAACCTATATTCTTGCATTTAGTCAAAGGAAAAATGGCAAGTTATTGGGAGAACCAACTCTTGCTATGCTGTGATTGAACTGTAAGAATAACATGGGGCCAGAGAAGAGCAACAAAGATGATTAGGGGAATGGAGGCAAAACATACATAAAACAGTTGTTGCAATTGGGTATGTCTAGTTTAATGAAAAGAAAGACTAGGGGTGATATGATAGCAGTGTTATATCTCACTGGCTGCCACAAAGAAGAACAAGACAAGCTATTCTCCAAAGCACCTGAGGGTGAACAAGAAGCAGTGAATGGAAACTAATCAAAGAGAGAAGCAACCTAAAACTAAGGAGAAGTTTCCTGACAGAACAATTAATCAGTGGAACAACTTGCTTCCAGAAGTTGTGAATAGAATGCTATGCTATTCTATTCTATCATAAATTTTTACAGTATATCAGAAATTATTTTCCAAATTTACCAATATATCTTGACTCATGGTGGAGTCTCAAAATTTTGGGGACAGATTCTGCACAGAGAATTCCCACTGGATAGGAACAAAGTTTAATGTTTTCTGTTTCTTCCAGAAACAGGAAAATAGATATGCTTGGTTTCTGCATCTCACCATTTTAATGATTCTTTTTTCATCACAGAAATTTGATTCCTATTATTTCCAAAATAAAGACTCATAACATTTTTGGGTTTTTCTTTTGCCTCTATACTGGCTCTATATTTTATGTTTTGATAAAATTTATATTTTGCTAATATAAACAGCAATGCTTTTTAGGGAGAACTGTAGAGGCATGCTTCAGAATTGGAAAGGGGGCTGAATGCTATTCAACTACTTTAATAAAACTTTTTTCCTTGAAAAACATTTCACCTCTCACCCAAGAAGCTTCTTCAGCTCAGTTTCAGAACAACAATGACCTGGATGATTTGAGAATCTCCATAGATATTGCTATGGAAGTAAAACCAGTGGTGGTATATGCAGGTTCTCTGAACGACTCAAAATTTCCACTACCGGTTCTCCAAAACCTGGAACCTGGTGAATTTCACCCCTGAGTCAGGACCAAACCTTCGCTGGTGTTGTTGCACTTTAAATATTTCCATTAGAAAAACTGTCTTGTAGCATATGAATATGCAGAATTATTTATGCAGAATATGCAGAATTATTTAACTTTCCAGAATGTATGTAAGATATTTATATACATCCTTGGAACTGAGGTAATAAAGTTGCAAGTTAAATCATATTGATGTGTGTGCCTCGCTTTCCTACTTAAATTGCCCAGCTGGTGGTAGTAGTGTACCACTGAAGGACTCTCTTAAAAGGAAAGGAGGAAGAGATCTCTCTAGGTCATTTCAGCCTTGCCACAATTATTGTCCTATTAAATCCCAAGTCCCAAATAGGAGGTAACAGATGTGTGAAAGAAGCAGAAGTTGTACTAATCAAGAACAACCGTGTGGTGTGATAGTTATTACACTGTTTCTCAACCTTAGCCATTTCAAGATATTTGGACTTCAACTCCCACCTGCATTAGAGATTCAGAGTATCAGACTGAATGAAACCTCTTTCCTATCATGGCATTAAGTAACCGTGGTTACTTGCTATTTATTTCTAAATACCACAGAGTTGTTGTGATGATCAAAAGTGTATGTATCTCTCTCTGAGTGTGAGAGATAATAGGGATTGTTGTTGTTATTTGCGAAGTGCTGTCCGACCCTCTCTCTGAGTGTGAGAGATAATAGGGATTGTTGTTGTTATTTGCGAAGTGCTGTCCGACCCCATGGACA